AAAGCCCCCAAAAAAAGTTTTAAAAAAAAGCTTTTTAAAACTTTTGAATCCAAGGAAGCATCCCCGTTCATAGTTCCTACCTAGAAGTAAGTGAACGCAAGTGAGCGGAATTTTACGGCTCCTTCTTGACAAAACCCCGTGGTCCTCTGATGCTAAATACCCTGAGATCAAAGAGATAAATAGAAAGTTTGTTCTTATTTATTAATAAATTTTTTCTTTTTTTTTTTCTTTTCTTTTATTTTTTTTCTTTTTTTGCGCTTCTTATTATTTATTTTTTATTTTTTTAGTTTTTTTTTTTGGTTTTTTTTCACTTTTTTGGTTGATAATTTTTTTTGTTTGTTTTTTTTTATGAACCCTGAGATAATAGTACCCGTAATAACTGCCCCCCCCCCAAAAAAAAGGAAAAATGTCGAGGTTTAGGAATGGAAAAAGGGAGTGGGGTCGAAATTTTTTACATACGGTTAGAAGATAAGCGCACTTAATCTATCTTAAAGGGAAAATTGTTATCTGTTCTTAGCGTCCTTGCAGATTATAAGTAATTTCATCTGTGTCTTATTAGTGTATATTTATATATTGACAATCTGACGGTACTTCGAGAAGAATATTTATTGCCAGCTATATATAGCAAATATGATTTCACAAACAAAAAAACAAAATCTCGCCCACTGTGATTGAAGATTCCTTGTGGTCCGACCGACAGTATGGGCAGAGAGTGTTGAGCATAAGTGCAATTGTCTGGAGAGTGACCACTGTCTTGTGAGCACCGGGAGATGCACTACCGAGTGCGCTGCTGGATACAAAGGCAACGATTGTAATACAAGTGAGTGTCTCGTCTTCTTCTTCGTCTTCTCTGGTCATCTTGTTCCTTTCAGCGTCATGTTTTGAAGAGCCATCGGGTAGATAAGAACCATGGTATGTGCTTCGTAGATACGTGCTTTGTATACTCCATCTATGTCTCGCTTGCGGTGTCGACCCTTTGAATACTCCATCTATGTCTAGCTTGCGGTGCCGACCCTTTGAATACTCCATCTATGTCTCGCTTGCGGTGTCGACCCTGACTGATTTTCTACCCCACCAGGACATCACACAAGCGACAAACACCCGATGACACAAAGTGCCACCATGTGGATAAGGATCGCCGTGGAGAGGTCCAAGAAAGGGCGTTCAGACAATTGGCCATATTTATGGCCTGCCTATATTGCGGCCCCTGGTAAAAGCCAGGGTGGGGCTTCAAATAACAAAAAATGTCCTAAAAAGGACGAAACACTTATTTGAATACTCCATATATGTATGTCTCGCTTGCGGTGTCGACTCCTGGCTCTGCTTCCATTTTTACAGGGCTGTTCGTTTGAGCTGAGTTGAGTTTAGTCAAGAATTGACATCACATCACTCAGAGCATTCCCATACGCGCGCTCTCCCCATTCACAGCAGCCAGCGCAGAGTTCCAACACTAATGGTGCCGGTCGTTGTCTGGTTGTACGTCCGTATTGCTTTTACTCTGAGCTTAGTGTGCCGACCGAACCCTCTAGTCACACCCAGGTGCATCATTCTCTCCAGCCCATAATAATCTAGTTTCTTTGCTGACTACGTTACTTGTTCCCAAAGGGCTCTGACCACATCTACCTTCTCATGTATTGTCTGTTAAGTGTGTTCAGGGTCACATTTTTTTTTCTTTAAAAGATTGCGGAAATATGAAATGAATATGAAAATGAATTTCTGTTTCGATTACTTGTTTGGTTAGTGTTCTGCCTTGCCTTAACAAAGTTTGTCACAATACACTTGATGCTTCGCCCTCAGTAAGTTATGAGTTATAAGTTAAATTATCTTCACAGCACTCCGGACACATTCACAGGTGCTCAGATTCCCCTCTTACATATTCATCAGCTTCGTGCGGTTAATAGTGCCAGTTCTACGTTGGTTAACAAAACTTCGTGTGCGTCCAGTGAGCTTCTCATGCTTGGCTGTGCCGATCTTTACTCCCAGTTCGCGTATTCTTAGCAGAGATGTGGACGCGTTGCTTTCGACATCCCCAGAACGTCCTATCTCTGTAAGGGCAATAATATCTGCGTGATTCATGGGCCGGCCATCTTCAATAACCTGTTAGTCTGTCAGCTCTTTTATTATCAACAACGCCTGCATACCCTGGGACGAATATGAAGGTAACTGACCACACAGGAGAGTTTTGCAATGACTCAAATCATTGCCTGCGTAACCAGCCTGCCTCGACCCACCGGATCATGTTCAAAGAGTCACTCGGAACACACACGCGGGAATAGTCGTGTTATTCTAGCCACATAAAAGCTTGTGTCACCGCCATCACTTCCATCGTTATACTGCTGGTGATCATGGAGAAGGCACCACTGGCTTCTCGACTTTTCTGCCTGAAGAGCGAGCTGTAAATGCCCATGCACTCGTATGTCCTCGTATAACGGACCCGTCTGTGAAGATCACGCTCTCAGTAAGTAAAAGTAAAGCACCCTTTTTAAGCCTTCAGATGTATCGGGCAATTAGGGCTAGAGCGATAATTTATACACCAATCGGCATTTGGTTGGTGAAGTGGTCAATATCGCACCGCCCACCAATACTTTCCTGCTACCAATTTAAGGCTGGGTCGACCTGTGGCAGTATAAAAGCATAAAGTTGCAGTTCTATCCCACTAGTATGTAAAATCCATTTTCTTCCTTTTTAGGATGAAATTTTTTTGTCATTTGAAGCCCCACCCTGGCTTCTGCTAGGGGCCGCAATATAGGCAGACCATAAATATGGCGAATTGTCTGAACGCCGTTTCTTGGACCTCTCCACGGCGATCTTTATCCACATGGTGGCACTTTGTGTCATCGGGTGTTTATCGCTTGTGTGATGTCCTGGTGGGGTAGAAAGTCAGTCAGTTCTATCACACTCTCCTACGAAATACGCCAGGCCAAATCAAAGGGAGACAAAACAAACTTAAAACACCAAGTAAGAAGAGGAAAGACATGCACAAGTAACAACAGGGTGGAGGACGAGCGGTCTGAATCGGAAAAAAACATCAAGCCCAGACATGGCTCAAACACTAGAATTTAGTCACGAAAGTGAGGCAAATAACCCAGACCACAAATATAGGCGGAAACTTTTAGCAACCTCTTACCTTTTCCATTTTTTTCTCAAAAGTAATTGGAATTGGAAGTTCTCTCACACACCAGTGGCGCATCGGGTATGTGCGGTTATCCTCAAATATCTATAGGCCAATCATTGGGCGGTGTGGTCATCATTATACCTGCCAGCTTTACTTCACAGGACTTTACCTGGTTCCTCTTTAAGGCTGGGTCTACCTGGGAGCGTCGGCTCTGTGGCTACGTCGATGCGAACGCTTCGTAATGACGGGATGCCGGGTTCGATTCCAGCTGTGGGTCATGTGCCATGCGTTGGTTTCGACAATTGTATCAAGAAAGCGGACCGTCCAGAGGCAATAGCAAACTACTGGACGTAAATGTGCCTAGAAAAACCACACAACAGCTACCGGCTGTTGGGGTTGGTTCTGCAAAATCCTGTAAAAGGATACGCAACTAGCCTGAGATATACCGCAAGCTGTAAATAACAGGTTACGATATTAACATTATATATTGATAAAATTTGACATCCTTTAATCATTAACATCATCATAGTCTCATAACATTTCGTCTCTATGGGTCGCTACTTGTTTTATGTGTCTAGTGGGTTTCCTCCACCTTGTCAGTCATATGTAACGGTCAACACGTTTGCATGTTTGAGGCGTGTACACTCAGCAGAATATCATATGCAGGTTTCTCTTGGCTGCGTCTTGAGCCCTTTTCCTTGTCCGAGTCCTGAATTACAGTCTTACAGAGCCTTTCAGATCTCATAACATATCCTTAGCACTGCATTTTCCTTCTGTTCACTGTTTTTGAAATGCGTTCATAGTTGTCAGTATGTAAGGTAATGATAAGATTGTCTTCATTATGTGTGTTTGTGTGTTATACCTGCGACATTCTAAGAGATTTAATTTTTCTGTTCTTGCATTTTCCTTTCAAGTTCAGACGTGTGAGGTCCATCTTCATATCTCACAGTCGCGGGTAAAGGCATGACCACTTGTGCTCTGTTTTTATCTATAGGCGTATGTTTTGTTTTACATGAAGTACTTGACGACTGTTGTGAATCCTCTGTCCTTACACGCCACGCAAAACATTTTATATCATATAGCACAGAAGAGTTAATTCAGTCTGGGATGCTGGAATGCACAATTTTTTTTCTTATTTGCATTAACCTGCTGTAAATACTACCAGAAAGTTCTGGCTGTTCGTCCTCTTTTGGATTCGGGTTTTGATCTAGAACTGCGGCTTTACGAGCACATTGTTTTACAGCTCTGGCTTATTTGTATTCAGACTTTTGCTTCCTCGCCTCTCGGACAGGTGTACTCGAATTTTGAAAGAAAACAGCCCTAATTAGTCGACGTTTGCGGCATGCCGTGGGGTGGGGTGGAGAGGTGTATATATTTTTTAACCCCAAAAAAATGGGGAGCCACACCAGGAACTTCACCATTTAATGTACTTGGTAATTTTTCTCTAAAAAACACAGCATGCGATGCTGGAACTTACGGCCCCAGCTGCCAACACAACTGTAGTGATTTCTGCTTACACCCGGGCATGGACTCCCCGTGCGATGGGGTAACTGGTGACTGTCTGTATGGCTGTGAGAGTAGCTACCAGCCTCCGCTCTGCATTACACGTAATGTCCTTCTGTTTTTAGATAAATATGTCTGTTTGTTGTTTTGCTATACTTAACATACACCTAACAGGTCTGAACATTAAAAGTAAAATTGGCTATCAAGCAGCATCAAAGTCTGCGAAACTGAACAGTTTGCTCATATCAAGCGCAGTCTCGGATTGGGGTTGGGGTGGGGTGGGTGGGGGGGGGGGGGGAGCAGCAGAAAGCATGGTACCAGGAAAGAGGGGCAGGGACCGACCACACAAAGATGGGCATGGTCTATAAGTGATACCTTGGGTAAGAAAGTGCACGAGGCTGGAGAGCTGGCGAGAGACCAAGATTTCTACAGGCCTACTATGATGCAGTGTATTCTGCAATGTACCTCCTACATAATGAAAACAGTACCCACACTCCCAATTTGCGTTCCGGGACCCTATTGTATGAAGAGGAAATAGATCTACTACCTGTATGTTAAGCATGTCGTAAGAGTTGACTCATTATGGGGGTCATAGTACATTGCTTGAAAAGTTGCTGACCAACAGTCTGCATACACGAACGCCATATATGTAAAACGAAAGTGCGCCTAAAGCGCAAGTACTGAAATAAGGTTATATCCCAATATCTCCCTCAAACAGACAGTCGAATGTTTTAGGGGGTGGTAGATAGGCTGCATGCAGTCGTGGGACCTAGACTGCACTCTCTCGTGAGACGTTCGGTGGGTTCGGGTTAGGCACAGTTCTAGATGTTCTGGGGTAATTAATGGCATTAGAAAGCCGGCAAAGCAGCTCTTACCACCCTCGGAAATATTGGACTGTCCTGTGGCGTCATCCTGGGGGAGATATTTGGAAAGCACGTAGAAATAATACCAAAGTTTATGAACAGCTTTCACCCAGAGTTGACAGCCAGTGAGTGCGAAGCAGAAGAATAGGCACACAGACGAGGTGGCGTAGAGTACGTGGCCAAATGTTTTAGTTCACAGATTTTTTGAAAAGTTATCGTCAGGTCCGATTGTAATCTTACCTCTCCGTTCACAATCGCCAGCGTCTGCGACATTTCTAAACTGGTCGCAGGATGTGGGAGTTTTTGCAAATACACTGGAAGCTGTGGTATGCGTCCTGAATAAGTTCCAGATCCTAAAACGTTTAACAAACCGGACGCATACCAAACGGATTTTCCAATAAGAAAGACAAGACAAAGACAATGGTTATTCCCTTCTCATTGGGGAAAAACATGCAGTTGTTATTGGCCATTATACATTTGATGTGGTTGTAAAAATGGTTGAAACGCTGTTTAATATTAAAATATATAAAACGAGAACCAACATTGCAGATATAGATAATTTACTTCAAGCGAACGAAAGAAGAAGAAGGAGAACCAATTTGAAAACAAAGAAATGAAAACGTAGCCTCCCTTTACCTTACCGTAAAGATACATGATTGCACACGGAAAGGAGGAGGAAGAAATTATATTGTCTGGAAAAAGAAATCCTATCCTAATAAAATGTCAGGTATCTGAAAAAATGCTTTTTTTTTTTTTTTTAATTTGTTTATTTTTTTTCCTCCCACTGATGAGGGTTGTGCTCCGTAAAAAAAAGCTAATTTCTTTCTGAAACGACAAAAAATATATTGGTTGCTTTCTTGCTTGTTTTACCCCACTAAGATATCATACAAGCGATAAACACCCGGTGACACAAAATGCCACCATGCGGATGAAGATCATCCAGAAACCACTTTCAGCCGTTATGGTCACAATTCTGGCCCAGCTATTTTCAGGGCCCCCGGCTAAAGCCAGGGTGGGGCTTCAAGTAACGAAAAATTGCATCCCACAGGGGGACGGTATCGATTTAAACCAAAATATATCGCGTTCAGCCACCTTAAATGAGCTTTTCTTATAATTGCGACATCGTTCTAGTTAGCCTTGGGGTTGATGTTACTTTTTAAAATGTCTATGTGTCCGTTGAATATGTTTTTTTTTTTTTTCATTCTGAGTAGGCTAACAAGGCGTCGGTTATAATTGCGATCGGTAGCTTATTGTCTTAAGCAATGACATTGCCTCTTCATTACACCTCTACGTTTTGTCTGTTAAATAGCTTTTATTCAGCAATTCTAAGTAGTCTTGTTCGTCTTCTTCGATCCTTCTGTCAGAAAACCTATATCAGGAGACCGGTAGCCTTTATAAAAGCTATCGTGCAATCCATATCCTCTCGTGTACCATACAGTTTTGTCTTCAGTGTGGTTTAAAAAGGCCAGATTGCGTCTCTGTTGTCAGCTTACAGTTGACAGTGTTGGAGCACATGCTCAGCTTTTTCGGGTGCCACGCTGCAGGGACACGTCTCCGTATTTCCCACACCGAAAAATTTAAACATATGTTGACGAAATCTGTTGTGCCCAGTCCTTAGTCTGAATATAATACACTGTCCCTCTCTAGAGAGTGGATGAAGTGAGTCTTGGGGAGAAAATCTGGTGTGGGTATCCAGCCACCTTTCTTAGATACTAGATTGTATTAATGTTTTCATCTCTTGGCGAGTTAAGTCGCTATTTGGTTATACCATGTCACTGCCACTTCTGGCCAATCTGTCCGCTAATTTATTGCCTTCCAAGCCACAGTGACCTCGAATCCACTGCAGATTGTTCTACTGAAGAGCCTAAGTAAATCAGCTGTTGCATCAAGTCTACAAACTGTGTGTCTTTTGGATTATTAATCGCTTGTAGAACTGACATAGCATCAGTCAGAAAGACTACTCTGCTATATTTGCTGTGATGTTGTCCATTCAGGAAAGAACATGCCGCTAGTAGTGCTTCTGCCTCTGCTCTGTAATTGAAGGAATATGAACCTGTTGGTACAGCCTGGTTGATTTTTAAACCATTCGGGCATTCTATGTATATTCCTCCTCCTTCGTCTCTTACTGCTCTCTTGGCTGAACCATCTGTATACACTCGAATCCAACTCTGGTGTGGATAAAGTCTACTGATCTCTCTTTCTGTAGTTGATTTCATATCAGTGCTCATTGATGATTTGGAGGAGATCCCTGTTACAGTGGTTCTGACTGTTGGTAGTCTATCCCTAAGCCAAGGGGGGCAGTCGTAAGGTTTGAGTGGCACATTTGGTATTATGGGAGGGAGTTTAAGGACAGCGAGCTTGGCATTTGCGTTTTAAATAAAACAGGTTCTCTTTAGTCTAGCCTTCTGGGGTTTCTGCAGTCGGCTGTGAAGGGTTGTTCTTTAAAGTGGTGGCATTTGGAGAGCTGGGCGAGGAGCTTTGTGCCTCTCCTATCTTCCAGATCATGGAGACCAATAATTGTTTCCATATCTGATATGGGCGTGGAGCGCATTGCCCCTGTCATCTAAGTAGTAATAGTGCTATTTGATTTCATATAGGGTGCTTTTTTTTATATTAGGTCTTCTTGATTTCATATTAGGTGCTTCTTGATTTCATATTAGGTGCTTCTTGATTTCATATTAGGTCTTCTTGATTTCATATTAGGTGCTTCTTGATTTCATATTAGGTGCTTCTTGATTTCATATTAGGTGCTTCTTGATTTCACATTAGGTGCCTCTTGATTTCATATTAGGTGCTTCTTGATTTCATATTATGTGCTTCTTGATTTCATATTAGGTGCTTCTTGATTTCATATTAGGTGCTTCTTGATTTCATATCAGGTGCTTTTTGATTTCATATTAGGTACATCCTGATTTCATATTAGGTGCTTCTCGTCCATGCCAATCACAATTTCTGTGAAATTAGCCACTGCCAGTCACACTGGGTTTCCATCCCTGTATGGATTAATCTCTACAATGACAGATTAGGAAGGGTATCTCCCTATTTGGGGGTCCCCGTTGTTTAGTTGTGGAATGTTTATATATTTTTTCTGATCGGGCTCACCTGCCGCAGCACTCTCACCGATAGGAACATGTTGTTATAAAGTTAGCATGGGGAGTCGTCGTGGCAGACGGCTAGACGCTCTATGCGGATTGTAAGGTCGTGGGTTCGCTCCCTGACGGAGCCGGACTTTTGTCACAGATGACCTTGGCTCCCAGGTCGACCCAGCCTTGAGTGGGTACCGGGAGTAGTCCTTTGAAGTAAAGGCGGCAGGAGCGATGCTGACCACATCGCCTATCTTTTGCCGATTGGTCTATAAAATTTAAATCAAGCCCTATATGCCATATACGCCTAAAGGCGTGGAAAATAATCCTTTACTTTACATTACTTTATATAAAGTTAGCATAAATGTTTGTCTAATGTGTCAATGTATGCATAACTTTAGAAAGGTGATCTAATATCTGTGTGGTCTCTCTAGTCTGTGACCCAGGGATGTATGGACCCAAATGTGAGCTGACGTGCAGCACCCACTGTTACACGCTAGATAACAACACAGTCCCTTGCAACAGCTTGGATGGAATCTGTCTTTACGGCTGTGAGGATGGTTACAGCGAGGCCACCTGCAACGTCTGTACGTAGTGGTGTCTTTACTGCCTTAAAGCAAACTCAAGTTTGGTGTATATAGTTCTATAATCATGTGGCGTATGTAGCATGAACTGTAATCTTCGTGTGGGTTCCAGCGCCCTGTTTTGTGAATAAAGTCATTGTAGAGCTAGAAGTCGACCACGCAGGAATTGGGATGCAGAAATATCAGAGACACTAAGGTTAGCTGCGCATCATTTACAGGACGTCGCAGAACCAACCCCAACAGCCCCCGGCTGTTGTGTGGTTTTTCGAGGCAAATATACGTCCATAGTTTGCCATTGCTTACTGGACGGTCGGCTTTCTTGATACCTTTGTCGAAACCAACGCAAGGCGCATGGCCCGCAGCTGGGATCGAACCCGGCATCCCGGCTTTACGAAGCGTTGGCATCGACTTAGCCACAGAGCCGACTTCAGAGACACTAAAAGTGCTTTATTCGAAGCGAGCAGAAGGGTCCAATCCAGATATCTCTTCCTGCCCTGACGTCCTTATACAGTCCATGATAAAAGAAGTCAGTATAGACGAATTACCCCTTCTGGTAAAAAGTTACCAATTAGGTCGTTGAATTAATTTGCGTTTGACGAGACAAGTCAGATATCACAACTTAGATTTAAATCAAAATAAAGTATGTCAGCTGCGACTGTAAGGGCGAAGACAGGTGAAGAAGAGCAAACAGAAGTGTGACTTTAAAGAAGTTTATGTTTTATGTGTAAGGTGATGCCTAATGTACTGGACATCATGTGATCACTACAGTAGCGGACAGAGCACAATCGCTAATGTAGTACAGACAATACGATATTTAATGTGACTTAGTGTTGGATGAATGTATACATGCCCAGCTCTCTTGCGTAGTTGGCTAAACCGGATTGCGCGGTGACCGGGTGACGAACTCCTTGTGGTACGGGTTCACTCACGGGGTAGGCAGAAAAGCCACATTTCTCCCAGATTTACAATGGAATCAAGGCCAAAAGGTTGCGATATCCATAACACTGAGCCTAAGAGTTAACAACTCATTGCTTCTGGTTACTAAAACAAACAAAACAAACAAACAAATGTATACATGTTTTTTTTTTTCGATCCAGCGGCGCAAGAGCTTTCACTCCATTGGCCCAGTACCATGCAGTGGAATTTTTATGTTTTCACAGTCGGTTCTTTTCCTCCTTACAAGGTGTTCCACTTGTCTAGTTATGTTTACATAGCAGTCGTAAGAAAAGATAAGATAATAGATTGAGACAGTCATGAGCATAATCAATAAACACGCACGGAGAGTTAGCCATGGCACGCATGTACAATCCTGGCAAGGGTATTTCCCAGAGTACTCTTCCATACAGGGGGACTGTAGTTGCCAGCTGAAGATGTCGAGGAACAAAATTGCAAGCTGGCCTACAAAAGGTCTGACGCCTTCAAAGATTGGTGTCATTTCGAGAGATTCATGGTGTTGGTAAAATTAAATTTGGCAAAAAGATCCTGCACATCTTGAAGAAGAAAGGGCTTTGCAGCAGATCTGCCAGAAGATCTCGTCTTCAGTCTGATCAATGAGGCTGTGAACATTCGCAAACTGTTGGAGCGAAGCAGAAAAGACAAACATGCCAAATATCGCCTGATCTTGGTGGAGTCCAGAATCCATCGTCTGGCTCCCTACTAGAAGACCCAAAAAATGGTTGGCTCTGACATGGAAATAAGAGTTCCCAGTTATTTCTGCTCTGGTTGCCGAATGTAGTTATCTGGTGCTGTGTTGGACATTCTCTAGGACACTATCAGCTAATAACCATTTTAAAATATTTTGTTAAAATGAAATTTTTGTTTTTAAAAAGAAGCATTAGAGATACCCTGCTGAGAGAGGCGAAACACGACAGGCTCCAGCTGTCAGGCCGCACTGCCGACGTCACCGGGTCGGGCTAACGATGCGTTAAAGCAGCAGTTCTCAAACTGTGTGCCGAGGCACCCTGGGGTGCCTTGAGCGAATGCATGGGTGCCGCGCCAATGATGAAATAAAATGAGCTAAAAATTGTCAAATTATTGAAGAAAGCATGTAGATAATTAGAAGTTGAAATTTAGGTTGTCTTTCCTCACGTCTGTGGAAAATAGTTTATTTCTTGTCAGAACCACTGCGTTAACGGATCGTTAGCCCGACCCGGTGACGTCAGCAGCACGGCCTGTCATTTGGAGCCGGTCGTGAGCGAAAGGGACTGGACTTGATTACATGGGTAATATCAAAAGGACTGCACAGAATAGAGAAGAATGTGAAACAAGACTGCGAGTCTCACGTGACGTATAAAGAAACAAAAGGATGCTGATGATGATAATGATGTGTATAACGAGATAGGATCATAATGAAGTGTAGTTCCCAGTGTGACTGATATACGTGTGCATTATGCCTAATTTTTGTCTTATTGTTTCATGATCCAAAATATAGTGTTTTTCGTATGATTTTAAATGTAGCCTATGCCGACAGACACTTTTCTAACGATTGAGATTTAGCCACTGGAGCGGAGGAACACATTAACCCTCTTTTTTGTTACGTACCATTTGTGCTACAATATTTTTACGGCGTCCATGTCTTCCACATAATGTTTACAATAAGCAGCTTAGAGTATCGGTTATTTATTGCGCAACACAAGTGTAGTTTATTATTTACGTAGCACAACATACGGAATCTTTTACTTCGAACCTGTTGTGCATCTCATCTATTTACTAATTCACTGCGCGCCGTATACATTGTCTCCACTTCAAAGATAGTTTTGGCCGATTCTTCTTTTTCTTTTTCTTCTTCTTCTTCTTCTTCTTCTTCTTCTTCTTCTTCTTCTTCTTCTTCTTCTTCTTCTTCTTCTTCTTCGTCTTCTTCTTCTTCTTCTTCTTCTTCTTCTTCTTCTTCTTCTTCTTCTTCTTCTTCTTCTTCTTCTTCTTCTTCTTCTTCTTCTTCTTCTGCTGCTGCTGCTGCATGTGACAGCCGAGGTCATTTTACACGGAATAATTTATCTGTCCACAGTCCTTCTCCATGTCTCCTTCTTACACAGTATACATCCGTTAACTTCAGATGTCATGTATTTGGTTGTGACCTTCAGCGTTTTCTTGTATTAATGTGTCAGGAATAATAGTACTTGTTCAGCACTCCTGTTCACTGTTTTACTACAAAGCTTTCTCCGTCGTCTTCCTTTGATAACGTTACGTCTGCTAGTGATTCACATTTTAGTTTTCTCCTCAGTTCTTTATTTTTGATTTCGTTTGACCAATATATCATGATCTCTGTTTGACTAAATTGAAGTCTGAAACCTCTTTTTTGGCAGATTGTTGGTCGATTATTGTATCTTTATAACCAGGATTACCAAATACAGTGTGTCACTGCGTGCCTAGCTGCTAGTGACGCATCAGCTCCCCCCACCTATGTTTGTCAGCTGCTAAAGATTCCATATTTACATATTTGAGGCCCCTTCTTTCAGTCACATTGTTATTCGAATCTTCCTTTGCGATCACTTATTCTTTTGCGTTTTGCAGGTCGCTGTAGTATTGTCATAAAGAGGCTGGAATGTCTCAGTGCCTGACAGTTCCGTTGCTTGCATGTCTGTGCACTGTTGTGTTTGTATATTTTTTGTTTGTCTTGGGTTCGGATGTAAAGGACCTGCTTTGACAGTCGCGTATAAAGGTAGGGACAACACATTCTCTAATCAATCATAGCCTTTTTTTTATGTGCGATCCTTAAGGGTCTCCATAATATCTCTTTTAGCGAGGGCTTTTGTGTGAGCAATTCTTGATAAGATTATGTTGGTCATTAGGAATAGATGCTAAGTTTTCTAACTGATTCACCTGGTCCAATTTGTGACCTTTAACGTATATTGGTGATTTTTTACCCGTTGGATTATTTGTCACTATTTCAGTCGTGATTATTTTAACAGAAAGGTTTATTCATTTACATTTCATAATCCACGTTGACTGGGCTCTGTCTGTATGCCTGTCCACAAGCTTTTGTGGAACCACGTTAACGTAGCTCCTGTTGACCCGGAAATCTTAGGTTCATGTCAGATAGAGCCGGACTCCCCCCCCCCCCTCCCCAACCCCCTTTTCCTAAAGAAAATTACCTTGGCTCCCAGGTCGACCCAGGCTTAAATGACTACCGAGTAAATTCCTTTGAAGTAAAGGCAAACGGCAGGATGTTGACTTCCTAACACACTGAGTGCACGCTGATGTATATAATATAGGTCTAGACCTTTATGCCCAGTACCTCTACAGGCGTGGGAAAGGGTCTCCTACGTTTTCTTTGCTCACACCCTTCCCTTCCTGTTGTGTCAATCATTAACTTATGTTGACGCCAGAATAAATCTTTTTTTTTTAAATTGGGAATTTTCAGCATGCTCGGTGGGAAAATATGGCAAGAGATGTGAGTTGCCTTGCAGTGAGCACTGCGCGCCTTCCAATGAATCCACTGTTTCATCGTGCCACCAAGTTACAGGCGACTGCAATTTTGGGTGCAAAATTGGTCACTTTGGGACGACATGTGATAAAAGTAACTGACCTATCCTTGTGTGTGTGCTATGAGTAAAATAGGCTAATGGTTACCAATGAACAAAATTACTGACATAATTTTATGTCTCTAGGGTGAGTTAGAGAGGGTTTGTGGTTACTAAGAAACGAAAGTAACCGACATATAGTTGGTGTTTAATATGAATAACAGAGGGAAAAGGTTACTAAGGGGTGAAAGTCATTGACATATTGTTGATGTGTAACGTGAGTAACAGAGGGATAACGGTTACCAAGGGGCGAATGTCATTGACATATCGTTGTTGAGTAATGTAGTAACAGAGGGATAACGGTTACTAAGGGGCGAATGTCATTGACATATCGTTGTTGAATAATGTAGTAACAGAAGGATAACGGTTACCAAGGGGCGAAAACACTTGGCATATCATCGTTGTGTAATGTGGGTAACAGATGGATAATGGTTATCAAGGGGCGAAAGTAGGGGAGCTATCATTGAGTGTAATGTATTTCCAGAGGAGAAGTGGTTACTAAGGAATGAAAGTAATGACTATCATTGTTGTGTAATGTGAGTAAAAGAGTGATCGTTGCGAAACATGGACGAAAATAAGTGGCTTAACAATGTTCAGTGTTCATTATTCATTTAAAGATCCTCTTCATCGCACATCAGACATGACCATGAGTGCTCCTTTCTCCTCACGAGTACGTCTACAAGTGTTTTGAGACTAACAACTCCCACGCTGTTCTGTTTGATGTAACGACGGGTGGCTCCCGCTAGTTTTCCTGTCTCACAGTTCCGATTGGTACACCCAGGGTATTTCAGGGAAAAGTCAATTTTCACGAAACTGAAAGCCTCACAGCCTTTAGTCTGTCTTATAGCATTGATGCTGACTCTCCTGTCCATAGATGACAGATTCATGATAATCGCACAGCTAGCCATGGTGGCTGCTCTCTCATTGCCGTTCACACCAGCATTATGTCGGTGGTTCTGCAACACATTGTAAAGGATGTGTAACGTGTGTTTCCGAGAATCATGTTAGCTCAGATAAGTGCTATAGGAAAGCAGATGTGAATCATGAGAAAATAATCGGATCACTCGAAAAATTAGACACTGGTGGAAAATGTCGCAGACGGTAGAGAACATAAACTGGCAGCAAACAGCAGCTGTAAGAAAAAAAATAACTATATGGGAACCTTTCAGATCATAGAGAGGGAGTTGCGTGGTCTCAAGGCATGGTGTCCGCCTCTATCCGCGGTGAGGTTTGGTATTTTTACACGTGGACTTAGACTTCTAGTAATTCACCCCGGTCTCTGAGTAGTGAGATCGGATGCTTGTGTGCATTGATGCGCACGAAGGTAAAAAAATCCCTTGGCAGTTGGGATAAAAATGAGTAAACTGAAACTACCCAAAGTATTTCAGGATCCTTGCCGGGGCTACAGAGTCTGTGCACTGTGCTGCGCTTTTTCGGACTCAGACTTGAGTTAGAAGAATAACGGAGCAATTAAGGGATACACCCGTGTGCCATGATGTTGATCCGCTGTTCACATCTCAGATCATAAAGAATATAGTGCGACAAGGATGCCTGCTGCTGTCATCCGATTTTCTTTTCATTTAATTATTATCCAGTGAATACAGAATGCGATCCGTTATTTTGGGGAATTTATTTGTTAGTTTCTACGCTGTTGGGGAATTTTTTTTTTTTTTTGAACATACCATTTAAAATGTATTCCTAATACAGCATGGTGACTTCATTCATGCATAGGATTCTTGTGTTCAACCAGCGTTGGTGGTGGCGCTGAAATATACATTTTCGGAGTTCAAGAACGCCAAGATTTGGATTATTGCCATCAGTAGCCTTGTGGGGTGTGGCGCCCTGGTCGCTGTATCGGTTCTCTTGTTTTGTGTTAAAAGAAAAACAACGCAAGACGGGTCTGAGAATAATAGCGTCTGAGATTTTAAGAGACAGAAGGTAAAAAAAAAAAAAATACAGATTTTCTTTAAAAACATTGCGTATCTGACATAAAGACAGTATTATTTTCTTCTTTTTTTCCCTTTTTCATTTTCTTTTCCATCTTTTTTTTCGATTTCTTCTTCTTCTTCTTCTTTTTCTTCTTCTTCTTCTTCTTCTTCTTCTTCTTCTTCTTCTTCTTCTTCTTCTTCTTCTTCTTCTTCTTCTTCTTCTTCTTCTTCTTCTTCTTCTTCTTTTTCTTTTTCTTTTCTTCTTCTTCTTCTTCTTCTTCTTCTTCTTCTTCTTCTTCTTCTTCTTCTTCTTCTTCTTCTTCTTCTTCTTCTTCTTCTTCTTCTTCTTCTTCTTCTTCTTCTTCTTCTTCTTCTTCTTCTTCCTCTTCTTCTTCTTCTTTTTTGTATTCTCACTAGGCGAGCCCGGAATCCACACAAGGAAAAAACAAGATATCTACGGGCTAGGAAAAATCTCATCTTTTAGACCTGCTGTATATCTACTTGTAAGGAAAGATTGATGTTTTCAACAACAATTCATCTATCCACTTGAAGGAAAGAACTGGTGTTTGTGTGTGTGTGTGTGTATGTGTGTGTGTGTGTGGGTGCGTGTTGGTGTCTGTGCGTTAGTACTCGCGAGTGCGTTTCTGTGTGTGTTTCTAAGTGTGTACGTTTGTGTGATGTGGCCGGAGAGGGGGGTAGAGGGTGGTTTGGCATGACTCATACTAGTGAAGAACACCCTGGTGGTTTAGACCGACAACATATCTATTTGTGAAAGAAGTCTAAACTTGTTAAATGTTTATAGGTGAACATTTAGTCCAAACTCTGCCACATTGTTTCTAGTATTTAAGCGATATTTTCCTACCTGGAAGGTTATTGTTCACTATTTTATGTTTATTTTAATAATTACAGAGTCAAATTTTATTTTATCAAGTTTTTCATCATATTATTATTTGATTCTGATCATGTTTTTATTATCTTGTAATGTTTGTTCAAAGAAGAAGCCTAGAGGACACAAAGGAAGGACAGAATTACACAATTACAAGCAAGAAGAATAAAGTATAGCAATGCACTTCAATGTTCAAAACCTTTCGCCATCTACTAAATGGCTCCATAGTTCTCATAAACCTTTCATGTTTTGAATTGTTTCTCTCTGTTTTATGTCCCACTCCTAAACTTTTGCCCTGTGATTTCAAGAGATAATTCTTTCTTTTTATAAACCCAGTATATTTCCTCTAAATATTTATTTAACTGTGTGAAAGTGCTGTTCTTGAAAGTATTTCATTGTTTTATTTAGCTTGATTTAAGTATCTATTTGTTGTTTCTATGCAGGAGCCTGGCATGTCCTTTTCCTTCATTAAACCTGGATTTATTTTTCAAGTAAAGTATCCAGCCTCTGCCTGATTTGTTATTAACATTATATTAACTATCACGGATGGCAACCGCTCTATCTTTATCCGTTTACCCCATTAGCCACTGAATTTCATGTTTTTAAAAATGAGCTTACATATCAGTTGGAAACTTCTATGTGACGTTATCCAAGAAAGCATTTTTCTGGCCTGTAACCAAGCAGTTATTTATATTCGACATTGCTAGATTTACCACCATATCCTGAGCAAAGAACAGGTTCTATCTGGAGAAGAGAACTGGCACATGCTAGGTTTTCAATCTGAGGGATATATCATAGACCAATAGCTTGTATGCTCCGCCCTGGAATTGCCGAGCATGAAATGGTATGCTGCTAACAGATTAGCGATGTGGCCTGCTCCAGCCTAATCAAGACACAACAAGGAAGCTGCGAGGTCTCGAGGCATGTTGTCCGCCTCGAGTGCTAGAGGTTCCGGGTTCAATCCCCGGTAAGAGCTGGTATTGTTTCATGTGGACTTGGACTTCTAGTATTTATTCCTGGCCTGTGGGTAGTGAGATCAGACGCCCGTGTGCATTGTTGCACACGTAAAAAATCCTTTAGCAGTTGGAAATTGAAAAGAGTAGCCTAACGGCGCTGCTCGGGCTAAATTTGGAGTTAAAAATTTACCCAAAGTATTTCAGGCTCCTCGCCACTGCTACAGAGTGTGTGCAAATCGCAGAGCTTCTTCGGACTCAAACTTAAGTTAGAAGAAAAACGGAGCACTTATGGGTTACTACTTGTGTGCCATAATGTTGTTCCGCTGTCCAAAAACCTAAAAAAAAAAAAAAAAAAAAACAAACAAACAAAAAACAAAGACACAACTGGATTTTACACGTCGAGAGTTTGCTTGGCTTTTACCAATGTTACTCGTTTCTAAAATTAGCTTTCTATCAGAAGCATCGACGTAGAAGACGATTACGAAGCTACATTTCTTAAACACTTACTGACATCTAGACTCACCTCTTACAGCTTCAAGCGATTGACATTATATCGGCACCGGTATTTATCCACTATATACTTACAAATGATGTTCAACAGAGAAACTGAAGGCTGTATGGACAAGATCTGCAAAAATGTTTCTTCTGGTGACTACTATATTACCGGCATGGGAACTCTGTTTTGACTGCTAAACAAGGAGTCGGAGAACACAGACAAATGACCCAAGGGCTGTGATATAATTTTGTCCTTCACTCGTTCAATAACTTACTCATTCCTCCAGTAGTAATTCATCCAGTCAGGTGTCATTTCATGATGTGCTATCACCAATAAAAACAGGGAGGAAAAGTTTGAAACTTGGCACGTGTGTAGTTCATTAAGCTATAACAAACTGTGAAGAGCTTTCGGCTGATCCTTTGACAAGTTTCTCCTGCAGTACAATGCGTGGCACACCCTACGGACCGGATCTGCTGCGTAAATTGGGCACCACAAACTGAGCCATTAGATACCAGAGAGCGTTGATTAAAGTTCCTGATGTTGCAGGGTAAATCACTTGACAGAAATACACAATGACAAAACCATTGTTTCTTAAATCACGTCTTTCATTTGCTTCGGTAACAAAGAAATGTTGTGTGCAGTTTAAGCGTGGTCGCACAAATGTGTATATGCTTAGACCAAAGCGTTTAATTCCTGAAGAAAATGACCCTGGCTCCCAGGGCAGCTCAGC